TAACTATCAATTTCTACAATTGACATTTCAATTCTTGCAATTCCTTCGGAGCCATATTGTGCAAAGACTTGAAATTTGCAGATGTTCATAATTATATATCAATACTAAACTCAACTTCACGTTTTGGTGGTAGCTCCCGATAATTCTTCAGAAAATACATAAAAAAATTTAGCAACAACTGGAATGTTTTTCAATTCCTGTACATCTTATTAAACACTTCTAATTTATCTAAAAATATCAGTTCACAACTTTGCAAGTATTTTTCAGCTTTCACTGCACTAATTAGAGAATATTGTGCATTTCAATCGCATAAAAATAAAAAAGCTTTTCACCCGGCAATCTAAATTTCACATATCTTTTTTATCATTCAATGGTAGCAAATTGATTTTCCACCTAATCCATCTTCAATATGACATTAAAGGTCTGAATTGAAATAATATAATTAACTCTGCTTACAGCTTATCATGAATATTAATGTGCATGATACTTTTTCTATTTGCATAAAACCACTTCCTGAAGGCATCACTACAAAGAAGGCAAGGGTAGATTGTATAATATCAACATGTAAACCGACAACAAATTTATCATAATTAAAAGTGTGATGCGCCTGAATCGAATAAAATCGAGTCAGGTTGATCTTGAATCAGAAGTATATCTATTACTGCTTCTTCAACTTTCACATTTGCTTGCACTGAAGGCTTTCCCAAAAATTGAGATTTGCTGAACTATCTTCCAAAAATTTTCTAGGCTATCCCTGTCCTTGAATAGTTTTGTCTCTTTTCTTTTCCTGTGAACAGTTCATTTGAATATGCCTTGACTCTCAACATTTGTAGCATTTTCTTGAACCCAATAAACACTGCCCAAGATGTCTTTTCCCACATTTTTCATGAATTGGTTTTTCTGACTGTAGTTGCTTCTGCTTATCAGAAATAAAAGAATCTGATGTACCTAAATCAAATAAAATCATGTTAGGTTGATCTTGAATCAGAAGTACATCTGTCATCACTTCTTCATATTCTTTTGCTTTCTGAGATTTAATTGCAAAAACTTGGGCTTTTACTGGTTGCTTAGTTATGCGCTCTGAAGTTTCATCATTTGCTTGCATTGAAGCCTTTCCTAAAAATTGAGATTTACTAGATTGGCTTTCTTCCAAGACTTTTCTAGGCCATCCCTGTTACTAATACTTGAATTGTCAATTGAGATTTACTAGGTTGTCTCCTTTCTTTTCCTGCGAAAAGTTCATTTGAAAATGTCTTGGCTCTCGACATTGGTAGCATTTACTTGAATCCAACAAACACTGCCAAAGATGTCTTTTCCCACACTTTTCATAAATTGGTTTTTCTGACTATAGTTGTTTTTGCTTACCTTCTAATTTAATTTTCTTTAGTTGTTTTTGCTTATCTTCTAATTTAATTTTCTTGCTTTAGAAGAAGTCTCCCTTACTAAAATCTTTTTTGCTTGCTTTTTTGAGGTTGTCATGATTGGAAAAGTTCAACTCATTTTCAATTCTTCCAGCTCTTTCAACTAGCACGAAGAAATCATTGATTTCAAATGATGTTAAAGCCAACTTCAACTGATCTCTTAGGCCACGTAGAAATCTAATACATTTTTTTCTTCTTGGTATTGATATAGTGAGGTGTATATTTTGAAATAGAAGTGAATTTTGACTCATATTGTATAATGAATCTAGACCCTTGAATCAGATTGAAGAATGTCTTGTTGTGCTAATCTAGCTTAAAGCAGAATAAACCAATCTTTGACATTTTTCTGCCTTGATACTGACATAGTGAGGTGCATATCTGGACAGAGAAGTGAATTTTGCCTCATATTGCATAACGGATCTAGACACATGATGTATATTGAAGAATTGTCTTGTAATGCTAATCTATCATTAAGGCAGAATAAAACCAATCCTTAAATATTAACAAATTCATCCCATTAAATCTGTGGAAGAGGTGTATGCTGAGATTTCTCTATGTTACGCCTGCCATTACTTCTCTGCTTTGCCTTCTAGTATAAAAGTGGCTAGTACCACTTTTCTTTTTTCCGGATAAATCATACCATCCAAATTTTTTTCTATCTTCAGTAGTCAATCTTAAGCAATTATAGGGTTACTGCTACCTTTGAATGCAATTAGCTTAAAAAACTGAAAGATGTTTAAATGTCTATTAACTTCTACCCCATGGTCAGTTCTTGGTCATATATTAGTGGAGGATCTTTCAATGACAGTTATTTTGTTAATCACTTGTGATATCAATTAAACGATGCCCTATAGCTCATTTGCTCTATTCTTATTATCATTTCTGCTCAAAACATTTTCAAATCTTATTTCTGGCTTTCTACTTTGGCCTAAAAGACTAGCCCTCAGTACTTTCTAATTTTTCTTCAAACATTTATCTATATTGACAACAATTATTATTAAAATGCAATTTATCATATACTAATTATATCGTGCATGCATGTTATTTTTAGTCGTATGTGTTACTCGCCTTAGATTCATCAACTTATTGCTCTATATAAATCAATTAATTTTTTATCCCATTCTTACTTCTTCTAAGTCCAACACGCTTTCATCATTCTCTTCATCCAATAACCATGCTCTACTACCACTTTCTGTCACACCTTAACTGACCCCCTTTTAAGTGTCGGATAAGGTGCGACAGAGGCGGACAATTCAGTCATGCTAGTTTCTCACGAATAGTCGTTAGAATCAAGACTTAGTGGGTGATGAATCAGTCTAACAAAATTGTCGCAAGCATATGTGATACTTTGCATTTCATAATTCATTCATATTAATATTCAAAAGTGTGGAGAATCATATCATCAAAACATAAAAATTATATAGAGCTGCTATGCCCAATATACATAAAATTACTTTCTTAAAAACTGTACAGGCTCCTCAAAACTATACAGATAAAAAACTAAAAAAATCACACCTAGTTACTCGCATCGATACTCTCTGATTCTTTTTGAAAGGCAACAACTAGCTCGGTGAAATAATCAAGGTTAAAATAAAATTTTATATATTGAAAAGAAAAAAATGCATGCTCATATGAAACTATACATGTCTATGCACAAGTCACAACATGCTGGAATGAAAATAAAGCAAGTGGTATAGAAATCAAAACTGTAATGTAAACATGTTATTTTGTTCATGTATAGACATAAGTATATAATCATAAACATATTTGCAATTGTAACAATGTCATCATAGCAATGGAATCATAGCATCACAGCAATGTGATTTCATAACAATGTCATCTGTAAATGTATAGGCTTCAGTTATTTTCATATCCTGTCATCATGGGTCATCATCCTACTCTAAAGGTCATATTAAGTATTGATAAAGATTTAACCCTCTCAACACATCAGTTATCAATGGCTCCCTCTCATATCAATGGTTCTCTACGTTCTGTCACTATTTCATCACAATGGTTTCCAGAGTTTTGTTGCCTCCTGAACATCATGAGTTGGAAATACTACATCCTTGCATATCGTACTTGCAAACACTCATGTAATAGTCTACCTATAACATCAATTGTCATATTTCTTAAAGTATAATACATGTAGCAAATATTCAAAGATATTTCATATATTGCATGTATAAATCATAACAAATAAAAACCTGTATGTAATTTATATCATAAACAATCATATTTCTCATAGCATGCTTATAGCATAATAACATTATATGTATTAGAAGAATAAATTAGTTTGCATTCATACATTCAATGCAGATATTCGTTCCCAATATGCAATAATTTCTAAATGCATCAATGTCAAATGTGAAATCATATGAAAATCTATAAACAATAATTTTTTTTAATTTGACACGAGATTATTTTACTTGATTTGATGGAGCAGTATTATGATGAGTTTTCTCACGCTCGTCTTGAGCTCGCAGTCTCGTGTGAACAACCTAAAATTCTTAGGCAACTTAGGCTTTCATGAAAATTGGCTTATAACTTGCATTAACCCAAAACATGCTTTAAATGCCAACACATTTCAAACGAGCTTCTCTATATAACCCAATCTTTCTCCGATCCGCTTAAACTTCTCCTCTCATCTTCTTTCCCCTCGCTGAAATCATACTAATAGCCCTTAAGGAAGTTTGCAAAATAAGTTCGACACTTCTGACACTTTGACGCCTTCTACAGTGATTGAAAACAAAAAAAATAACAAAATCGAGTCAAACATCAAAACGGAAGTGAGGAAGGAAAGACATGTTTAGAATAGCGTGAAAGAGGAATTCATACTTTTCGTTTTTTGCTCCGAGGCTCACTGTGGTGAGTTGTGGCTTCTAGGCGATTGCTCGACCCGTTTGTTCGCTTCAGCGTTGTTGTAAAGATCGCAAGATCCTTTATGCCGAGCGAAACTGAGACTAGGAGAGGGAGGAATTGCGACATTTATCTCGCCTCTCCTTTCTTATTAGCCACTCGATTAAATCAAGTCAATGCATGCGCGAGAAGGTGCACAAAGGTCTGTTGGCTACAGTGCATTGGCAGGATTAATAAAATAATGAAGGTTTAATTAGGTCAATTAAATTTAAAACTTTCAAATTTTATTTCTCCATCCACTGGCAATTCATGCATAGTGTTATATATTGATTTGATGAATTGGATACGTAGAATTTTATAAAAATAATTTGATTGAATTTTGGGGGATGTGAAATTTGGGGTATTCTCAAAATTTGTAGAACTTTACCTAATTTCCCAAATTATGGGTGTTACAAAATTAACTTGAAGCAAATTGTTGAATTATTTAACATTAACTGGTTTCTTAAGTTTTGTCTTACAACTTTAATATTCAGCCCTTACATTATGTTATCATCTCTTATTAAAATATTAAGCTGGTATATCAAAGCTCTATTACAATGTTTGGATCTTCTAAGTTGTAAGTCAGTATGATATTTCAAAGCTAGGATTTCCAATTTGTTTTGGCTTACAATGTTTTAAGAAATTGCTCTTCCAATTGAATGATCAATTGGGTTTTTTATGCAGATATAGAACTTTGAACGGTGGGAAATTCCCAACAGTTTCCTGTACTCAAAAGCAAGTTGGTGGATCATATTATGTAGTTCGAGAGATTATTCAAGCATTGGAACATAATCATAAGAGCGCATCTCTAGAAACTCAAAAGGGAATTAAAGTTTGGGTGGAAATGGCAAAGTGTGATGATGTTTCGTCCACGAGAGAACCTTTTTTTTTATCTGATGCTAAGCAAACTTCCTTTAAAGAGTTTGAAGGTGATACTACCAAATTTAGGATGGAGAACTCAAGTAATAAAACCAAGGAAGGCGCTGAAACTTCCAGTTTGAGTATTGAGGCCCATCTTGATAGTCAGATTAAAATAGATGCTATTAAAATGTCTACTCCTTCCAGGGTTACTAAAGAAGATAAGGGTTTGGATTTTGACAAATTATCTGCTTTTACTTCACCAGCAACAGTGAAACCACAAACCCATGCTTCAGGAATGTCAGATGCCGAAGCATTGAATGTTAGACTCCATACTTCTCTTACTTCTGAAGAGGTTCCTTATATTTTTTAATTTATATGGTTAACCTCAACATTTGAGTGCCCTCTTTGCACACTGACTAACTGCTTTCTTGCAGACATCTGCACACTTACTACAACCAGCTTTTCCCGCACACATTTCTTGAGTTTCTGAATGATAATTTTGCAACATTCTTAGGTGGGACATCAAGTTTCTGCTAAATTGGAAAGTAAAACCAGTGTTTTGCACACTTCAACTGAAGAGATAGAAGCTTGTGGAAAAGATGCAGCTTCTGCTTCCAACTTACATGAAGAAGCCTTTAGATCAGAAGAACTTTATCAGTAAGCTTGATTTCAATCTACTGAAGCCATTTTTAGTGCTTGGTTAAGATGCTGGAGTATTTTGTTGTGTTACTAGCATGTTATTGTTGTATTTTCCACAAATTTTGTTATTACCATCATTCGATGCGGCATTTTCATCAGATTCTTTTCCTAGCTTTATGGTTTTGTTTGGTAAATGTTGTAATTTAGGTTCACAGTGGATCATTTTCTTCCATATATTGCCCTTTAAGGACTTATTATACTCATATTAAATTTTGCTTAGTTTTTAAATTTTGGCACTAATTGGTAACATATCTCTTATAGTTTTTGAGATCTATCCATTTGATCTCTCCACCTTTTCTTCCCAGTTAGCACTTTGTCAACATACTTTTGAAACATATGAGTCTTAGTCTTTATCTGTTCCTCATGGAGAACAAAGGAATGATCTTTGATTTTGCATTTTGTATTGAGCATATTGGTGATAACATCTGGTTTGAAGATTATATCCCTATTGACTTCCCCACGCTATGGGAGTTGGAGTCCAGATTGGTAGGAAGCGAAAACTTAGCCTTAGTTCTGCATTATGTTCATTGCGATGTCAAACAATAATTTAAATGAAACTACATGAGTATTGCAACTGGATAGAGCAAACTTGCAAAGTAGTTCATTTATTGTAACTTTTTTTGCAAGTACAATATGCAATTCTTGGGGATTAATTTTACCAAATATCTTGTGTTATGTTTTAGCTTATCCGAGTTGGAAGGAATGGGATTTATGTAAGGTTCAGTCTTATCAAAGGTGATTTGTGTGTTTGCTTAGACGGTTGGACAGGAAAAAATGAGGTTATAGCAGACCAAATACCTGTCATGCAAGTAATATCACTGAAATGCCGTTTAGTCAAGTTTCTTTGTGTAAGGCACTAAGTGCTTAGGCCCATGCTCTCCATGGCGCAAAGTACTTTTAAACCATGCATAACTATATTATTAAATGGAGGACTATGTTCTAGTGATGAGGAAGAGAGTCTAGGGGATGAAGAAGATGAAATTGATGTTAGTGAAGATTTGATTTACATTGCGGTATATCAATTTAGGTTTCTATTTGCTAGTCTAAACTTGAATCATTACTTTTGTATCATTTGGTCACTTTATTTTTGACAGTTTTTATTTTGAAAATATATTTTTTTTCCTACTACATTATAATATTTCATTTGAGGATTATCATATTTTGCTCTCCAAAATTATTCCTTACTTCGCATAGATAAGCACTTGGGTTATTGTTTAACACCTCTAGCATAGACTACTATATGGAGTTGAGGGTGCGCATCACCTTTAATAATATTAATAAGGCTCAAAATTGTGTCTAAAATTTATCCTAAAAGGAACATGCAATTAAATTGAAAAGTTTAAAGTTAAAATTATTGAGCTAGAAAATGTGCAATAGTAAAATCTTTTGAGGATACAATAATAATAAGGATGTATTAGGTACGACTTTCTCACATTTTTTACTTTATACATCATTGTTATTTTTATGATTGTTTTTAACTTGTTACTACCTTTCATAAATCTCTATATGTTGAAGTAGTTATTCATGATTAAGTCTCGATGAGAGTGTATGCTAAGGAAGTTGTTATCTGATTTTTTTAGTTATATTTGTAATTTTTTTATTTTGAAGGCAAAATCTTTGACATAACTACATTCTTTATAGATAATATCTCATCTTAAAACCTTTCCCAATGATGTCGTAACCTATTTGCATCACTTTTTTTTTTTGCTTTGCTTGAGGATCTTATTGTGGCGATTTGTCTTCTATTCCTCCCCTGCATTAATTTGGAATCCACAAAAAAAAGGCTATGGACGCGGAAGCTAATAAAAAAAATACCGTGGTACTGTACGAGCTACAATACTGTATCTATCGCTAGAGATAGGCCGAAAAAATCTCGTTTTCCTTTCTTATGCTTTATTTCTTATTATCTTTTATTCTTTTTTAGCCCTTTTTGTTATATTTGTTGTATTAGGGTTTGGAAGTCATTTTTTTGTGTTTTTTGTTTAGGACAGCCGTCGGTGTTCGTTCTTCTCCCTTAATGGTTTCAAAGGGATTGGGTGGTACTCTGGTTGTATCTCTCTTCTGAAGTGGTGATTATCTTCCCTTATCTCCTTCCACATCCTCCCACATCGCTTTCGGCCGCTCTGTCCCTACTGCACCCTCTCGAAACAGTTGTCCTGCTATTTTTTCCTACAGTTTTTTATCTTCTTGCCGACACCAGCCGCTTTTCTGCTTGCTGTGGCCATCCAGTCAGCAAGGAGTTGATGTCCCTGCCTCTTTCTGCCTTCCATGCCACCGTGCCTTCCCTTCCAACGTGCCACCGCCTTCAGAACTTTTGCCCTAGCCCTTCTCATTTGTTGTAACCTTGTAGAATTCGCCTCCCTCACTGCCACAACCATTTTAATCCATCCCCCGTGCTGCCTTGTTGCTTTTCCAGTCCCCTACAAGGCTTATCACAACTCATCCACCTTGTAGGAAGCCTTACGTGCTGAATCCACCACCTTCCAACACCCCAACTTATCTATTCCAACGGACCTCGCCGACGTCCACCACACTTGGGATACATTTTAGTTGTGTTTGTTGGTTTCCGTGTTTTATTTCCCTTTTACCGTGTCAATTGTAAGCTCCTAATTGACTTTGCAATAACAATATTTGGTTTTCTGTCATGGTTTGGGTTAACTCCGGTATCGATGGTCCTCAATAAATGTAATCCCAATACAAGTTTTTTGGTGGAGTTTGGTTACTCTCATTCAAAGATGCTTTATAATCAAAGAAACACTATAATGTTGTTCGCCAAAAAGATTGAAGGTGATGTGTTGGATGAAACTTAGAACCTAGCTTATATAATTGATTCTCTTAGAGTGCTAAGATTACTAATCCTAGAAGCTTTAGAGCTATATGTTTGTTGTCCATCTTTATTTTATTTATATTTTAGCATAAAAAGTGAATTTATTGTACAATTTGACACTAGTTCTGAGAACAAACAATAGTTTGAAGTCTTGAATCTTCTCTGGATGGATGCAATTTTCTGCCAAAATAATAAAGCTACTATTTCTTGCTCTGGTAGCACTTGGCTTGTAATGAATATGGGACGAGTTGAAGAAAAAACTTCACATCATTGGTCGATCCAAGTAGCAAATACGAAGGGATATTTATAGCCAAAAATTATAAGTACTGAGGAAATCAAGTAAGAAAAATCCATCCAATCATTTATGATAAGGTATTTAATAAGATAAATTATTGTGTAAATGCCTATCACAGTTTATTTAAATGAAAGGGAAAATACATAAAGAATATTCTTAAGAATTATACTTTTTTGATAGCAGTTGTTATGAGAGGGTGGGTTTTGTGGAGTAAATTATAGAGAATTTATTCGATTTTTCATTATTTGCTCCACTTTTATTGGACTTCTCATTTTTTTAGGGTAGTTCCTTAAATTTTCTTATTTCCCTTTTTTGTAGACACCTCTACTTTTTGTGAGCGTTGGTTTAATTTCTCTTTCTCATTTTTAATTTGAAAGTTGTAATATTTCTTTAAATTTAGCCTTGAATCTCTATGCTTGTACAACCCTTTAGGTTTTGACTTGGCGATTTCTATTTATGTCCTTCATTTTGTTAATTGTCAGCATTTTTTTGTAAAAAATTGAGATCGGGTGGAACCTTTTAGAAAATTCTAGAGGCTCATTTTGATGTCTAATTTTATGAGTGCCTTATTAATTAATGAATTTAACGAGTATCCTATTAGATTAGAGCTCCCCTGTAAAAGAATTGGGATTGACTATGGAAACTTTTTGAAAATACTAGAGGATCATTTTGATGTCTAATGTTATGAGTGCCTTATAAATTAATGAATTTAAAGAGTATCCTCATGTTGATGTCTAATTTTATGAGTGCCTTATAAAGTAATGAATTTAAAGAGTATACTATTAGGTTAGTATACTCATTATGATGTCTAATTTTAAGAGTGCCTTATAAATTAATGAATTTAATCAGTATCCTATAGAAGGATCCTACTAGATTAGAGCTCCCCTTTGATCAAATCTGCTCCTACAAATGTCTAGCTTCTTAACTTAGGTGCAGCACTTGCGTTGATTTGGCTTTGTAGAATTGTTTCCTCTATTTAAGTCATTCATTTTTTTTAATTTTCACTCCATACCTGGCCTTTCTTTGTAAAAATTTGGAAGTGATGATGAAGCCTTTTTAAAAAATACTAGAGGCTCATTTTGATGTCTAATTTTAAGTGCCTTATAGATTAATGAATTTAAAGAGTATTCTATTACATTGATCCTTACTAGATTAGGGCTCCCCTCAGTGATCAAATCTGTTTCTACAAATTTCTAGGTTTATAACTTAGGTGCAGCACCTGCGCTGATTTGGCTTTGTAGAAATGTTTTCTCTATTAAGCATATCTGGGCTAATGTAACTTTGATTTTTTTTTTTTTTCTGGGTGGCAGAGCTCTTTCCACTTGATGCAATTTCTGTTCCATAGCTTTTCTAGTAATCAAATATTTCTTCCTTTTGGATGGCTTTAAGAAGCTTCACAATAACTTCCTACCTTTGTGATCCTTGCCGGTCTCTTAAAATTTTGTATTTTTGCAATCTTCTATGATAATTTTATACGTAAAAATGGAAACATTTTTTTTATTTTTTGATTATTAAACTTTTAAATAGGTTAATCACTTGATCATTTGTGTCCTTCATCATCATTATATAATTGGCTTGGCATTTTGGACATTTACTAATAATCATGCTTTCACTACACCGAGAGCAATAATGAATAAATTTAAAATAAATAAAAGCAATTAGGTAATTTACATACTTTGGTAAGACCTTCCTAAGCCCGCTATTGCATAGAGATGTATTAGTTTTGTTAGTTCAAATATAGTTATGGAATATGAATTTTTGTCTTCTTTTATGTCTCGTCTCCCCTCTTTCCTCAACCCTTATCTATTGTTTCCAATAAATTGGAACTCCATAGAAAAACCCAAGTGAATCACATGAATAATAAACTCTGAAGTTCAGGGAAAATAAAGTAATTTTATTATAATATTATTATATCTAACCCTATTAATTTTTTTCAGTATATTGCTCACCTCCCTATTATTAATATCTAGCCACAAAACTTCTAATTCGGTAAGCTTGCCATCAACATCAACTTGGCGTCGTTGACCTCTCCGTCAGTTGCCTTCTCTACAGTAAACCTCTTTGTCAGATCTAAGCCAATGTCATCTTCAACCGACAACACTTCATAACAATGGGTTCGGCTTTGATCATTAGAATAAACCCCTTGGCTTCATCATCAAACGCCTTTCTATTTGTTAGCCCTTGAAAAGACCTTCAAGTGGCAGCCCTCTACAACAATCGTCATCGCCTTAACACGGGCTCGCCATTGAATAATATCCAGTTGTTGGCCACCAACACTTTAGATCCTAAGCCACCAAGCAGTCAATCATTAGTTCTTTTGTTGATCATGGGATCAAATCATGACAGGATGATCAATTTGACTATTCTCCATGAAAAGGCTTAGCATCCTTTCACAATTTGGGCATTATATTTTGAAGGCGTTAGGAGATTGGATTAGTTGATTTTAGACCATCTGATTTCTTGATGCATGCTATTGTTGGTGGTGATTCTCAGATCAGGCCACTAAGATTGAAAAGGATCTTTATGAATCTAGGGATGCTGGTCAATTAGACATCAAATGATCGAGATCAACACCATAGAAGGTGAACCTAGGGATAGATTTGACTTTGATGGATACCGTTGTTGGTGGTTAATCTACTATAATGCCATTAAGATTAAAGATGATCTTTGGGAATCTAAGGATACTATTTTTTTTTTTTTCTAGTGCCTTTACATGCATAGGCCCACTATTCTTATCTATTTACATGCCTAACACCCAAATTTTAATATTTACATGTGTAGCACTCAAATCCCTAGTATCTCATCAAAAATATCACTGTCAACTACTTTTAAAACAAAGTTAATTACACCTTTTCATGCATATATTTTTCACACCAAAATACTATAAAAGTAAGTATAAAATTTTAGGTGTCAGATATGTAAATATAAAAGAACTGAGGTATGCATGTAAATTTCCCTTTTTTTAGATTTGATCAGGGTCCATATCTAGCACTCAAATGTTGTAAATTACTATGAATCAGATCGAGCTTGGCTTTCACTCATGCATGCATGCATGCATGTATGCTGCCAATCTTTTATTGGTCTAGCTCTTTGACTTAAGCAAATCTGGTTAGGCTGTGTGGTGTAATGTCTTCCCTGTCGTAGAAATAATATTTACTCTTTTATTCTCTTCCATTTGCAGTTCATTTTTCTTTCCCTTGCATAAAATATTGTCAATCATTCATTTTTCTATTCTTCGGAAGCTTTTGTGCTTGTCGTCTTTATCTACCTGCTGTAACTAGCCAAAGCTGTCATAGGACACTTTCCTCTTCTTCAAGCTGAACTATTTTTTAATTCTTCTACATAAATTCTGAATTGTATTTACTCTTGTTCTTTCTATGGTGATCAAAGCCGAAAGATTGGACTTTATTTTTAAAATGCCCCAACTTTTATGTAATTCAATTTTGGACGTTATATATAGTGAATGAATCTTATATACATACCTCAAAATTCTTATGTATTTACTAATCTAATACCTTAAATTTGTATATTACTTTTATAACACTAACACCGGTATCTTAAACTTAGGCATGAAAAGGTGTATTTCACTTTTTAAGAAGTTACAAAGTGGTATTTTTGATGTAATGTCAAGGATTTGAGTGTCATGCATGTGAATATAGAAGAGTTTTGTGGTGTGTACATGCAAAAACATCAAGAAATTACAAAAAATCAAATATATTTAAGAGGAATAGACCACTTAAAGTTGAAGAACATAATTCATCAATTTTTCACAACAGTTTATCAAAGCTGAAAATTTTAAGTTTACGCCGAGCATGTAAATACATCGGTTTGGTAGCTCAAAAAAAATAACACCAGGTGTTGATTTGTAAATAGCAATGGTTTTTGTGTTCTATATATAATCATCCCCAAATATAAATGTTTTGGTGCGAGATTCGTAAGATCATGAGAATTGCATGAATTGTGTGCTGCGTATGTAAAATTTCCTATTTATTTTCTTAAATGCTGAATTGGATTTTGGTCTTTGCTGTTTCTATAGTGGCCAAAGGCAAATGATTGTAGAGGGAGCAGCATCAACCAAGAGATCAAGCTTTTGGGGTAATTTGAAATCCATGGCTTTTGGTATCATCAACCTGTGGAAGTAAGGTTTAGTTTTTAGTCTCTTTTTTGTTGTTTCTTTCTGTTATATAATAGAAATAGATCATGGAGATTGTGCTTCCTGTCATGACACCTGCTTATGGATATATCTGAAAGCTTATTTTGAGCTATATTGGTTTTTTTTCAGTTTCTCAAACTTGTCAGATTTGGTTGCTTTTTATTCAAACATCTTCTTGATAGTGATTAGTCTGGACATGTCTAGTTTAAAATACATGAATAAATGCTTTTTAAACATAATTAGATTTTTCTTTTGGTTTTAAAAAAATGCATTTTCAGTATTTTTTTTAACTTTTTTTAATTTTTTATGAATAAGTCATACTATTTTAAAATATATTTAAATAACTTGGAAAAATGTTTTTAATTCTTATAATAAAAAAGAAAAATTTTCATGTCAAGCCTTATTGTTGATACCAAGCCGCCACCACAAGGTAATTGTGTGAGTCATCTAGATGCGAGCTACATCCTTACTACAAACGCGATACACCAGCGAGAGTATAACAGCTCACATTTCGATAAAATACATCATTTTTTCCCACCACACATTACAATGGTAGCCATCATCGTTTATGGCAGCCATTACCATCACTATAAACTTAGGAAGAATGGTTCCAAGACTTGTGGAAGACCATCAAAGCCTACCTATACTTCCAATGTGAGATTTAAGCAATCATGTTCATTGCGCTAGGTTTGAAAAAGCTTCTGATTCATCAAAAAAGAAAATATTGTTCTAAGAATATATTACATCTATGCCACAACTCTTACATTTACATATCTAAAACCTATATTTTGATATTTATACTTGCACCTTTAATTAGACATGGCTTAGACATTCAATTTTTCTTATCTTTATTGATTTATTTTACTTTTAAAGAAATGGTAAGATATTTTCCACATGATATTAAAAATACAATAAAGGAATATGAATATTTTGATATTAGATATGTAAATACATAAAACTTCTGTGATATGTATGTAAATGCCCTCTTCCATTTTTAATAGCAAGAGCCTTGACTACTATAAAATTTCAATAATTTACTGTATTATTACAGATTTGCCAGCAATAAAAGCAACCTACAATGATGCTAAACATATAAAACATTATACAAATATTACCCACACAACCCATACAACAAAGATATACCAGCAAAATGTCAGATTGATAAGTCACAAACAAGCAAAACCATAAGAATCTTCAAAATCAACAATAATTGCAGAAGAATAATGATAAAATCAAGAGACTAACATGAATATATAATACACAGCTGCATTTGTAAATATCAGTATGGCTAACAGAGCAGACACTATAATGATCTTTTTCTTCTCATCAGAAATATTAAATTCTCTCTAATTGAACCACTAATCTGCTCACAGGTTGAATTATACCTCTTCTTTTTCAATGATGGCCTCCATGAGCATGGAACATCAATATGCAGCACAAATAAACCCATAAAAACTGCAAAATTCAAGCATTGTGGGGAATAAAAATGTAAAAAATCAGCTTCTACAAGAAGTATGGAACGCCTGTTCTTGGTCCCCTCATCTGATTATTCTCCTCTGTCTCTGTGAAGAACTTCACCTCTCTCTCCTATAATCAATAGAAAAATTTTGTCATCTACAACTTTATATTTATTTACATTACACCTAATATCTAAACCACATCCCATGAAAAGATATATTTCACTTTTAGATAAATTAACATAAGTGGTGTTGTTAATATGAATTAAATATTAGGAGGCCAAACAACTATAAAAATTTACCTGTAAGATATGTAAATACATAAAAAGTGATTGATGTGTAAATTTTCCAAATTTAAATAAGCTAATAACAGAGGTGTAAAAAGCATACCATGTTCTCATTGAAACTAAGTATAGAAGCCACATTTCCACATCTATAGCAGTAATTTGGTGCAGACCAGACCTACAGAAACAACTGAATCATTACTTCTGCTGGCTGAAATTTTGCCAAAATCATACACAAATTCATGACAAATATATATATATATATAAAGGTACACTCACAGTGACAAGGCCTTTGTCTTGGAACATGTACTTCAGACCTTCCTGGACAAGTTGATGTGCTCGGCAGACCAGGTCGAGATTGTTGATATGATTAAACTATGGATTCAAACATTAGCAAACCAAAATTAATCAGAAAGAGCACTTGTTTAGGAAAATCGGCATCAAATCGTATGGTGTACCTCCGAAGTCACCCGAGAGCCAAAAAGCCATCCTGCTCCTCGCGGACTTACAGCCCATGTCTCTATCTCCTCAGGATCACTCCACATGAGATCACAAAATGGACCCTCGTGAGGAATTTCACAATTTCGATCAATAACCCTCATCTGCAGCCATTAGGAATCAGGATGTCTTGAAAATATATAAATTATTCTATGTTTACATAGCACAAACTAAGATACTTCACATATATAATACCTAAAGCTAAGCTGTCCAGGAACTGCTTTCACTTGTTAATATCTCAGTTTTGTTAGCAGCGCGTGCAAACAAACGTTGACAACATGAATGAAGATTTACATACATACCACTCAACTTTTATGTATTTATATATCTAACACCTAAACTTCAATTTTCACACGCATACCAACTTATGCACGAAAGTGTGTATTTCACTTTTTTAACAGTTAAAATAGTGGTATTGGGTAAGCAGTAATGATTTCAATGATCAATGTGATGACAATTGAAAAATGAAAGAGAAAAGAGGGTGGAATTCTGTGAGTGGATCCTAGTTTGCAAAAATTATACAGAAGTTTAAAAGAAGTTGCCATAAATGCAAGTATTCTCCCAATCCCGCATAAAAACGAATGAAAACACCCATCTACCATACGAAAACAAATGAATTACATAGTCATAAAAATATTTATCAAGCCATTTAATTATCATATATATATATATAAACGCCCCATCCATATCTTTAATCCCAAAAATAACTAAGAAACAACATCTACCATCTTAATCTAGTTGGATTCACCTGAAATTACATAGCTACATTGATAGAAGCAGCTACAACCATACTGAGCTAAGAACTAAAGACTATTACAATCCCACAATCTTTGGCCACAAGGTAAGATTGTTAAAACTATCACTACTACAACCTCAAGAGGGATACAATGAAGGATTTGCTAGGTATAAGATAGCTAGAATCTTCTAAAATAAACAATCAATTCTACACCCAAGAAAAAAAAACAAAAAACAATTAAAGGCAAGATAGTTGTATTTCATATAAGCATATCCATGATCATCATCATATGTAGATTGATCTCTCACTGCACAAGATACCTCTAATATCCACCTATCAATAGTGGATAGTCTTATCATAGCTTCTGGAATAAAATTAGTATGGCCATCTGAGAATTATAAATTATGTATTGAATATGAAATTAAAAGCTTGAAAAAAAAAAGAAAAGAATCTGATGGTTCAAGAAATAAAGTCAACTCAAATATATTAAAAACTAGAGTAATGCTAATATTTTTTGAGATATTTAATTTGTAAGTATTAATCATATATCCCCTTCTTTGGATTCAACATATGCTTAGTAAACATCTTCAATAGTCTTCTGGTTCTCATAGTTAATAGCAAGCTTATGGCGAATATTGTCATGCAAATCAAATATATGAATAAGACAATAAAAAACAATATGCTAAATGTAAGAAAATGACAAAATTCATGCACTCTAATAGACGTATTAAATAGTTATATAACAAAAAAGAAATTACACAAAGTTTTCTTCAAATAAGTAGCAATCCACACAAGTCTACAACATAAATAAAATAAATTTATAATATGGTGGACAACCTCCTTATATATAAGTAATTTATATGATTCAATGATTAATCAAGTTGAATTATTTACCATTGGATCCAACCAAATTTAGGTAGTACTGAATTTCAGGTTTGGTTGCAGCTGTTTATCATTGATGAATTCATAGATAGTATATAATTTAACATTCTCAATAATGTTCTTTAGAAATTTGCAAATTAAAATCAGACAACCAAAAATAAAATCAATATCAATTTTGTTATTTTCCCATAACATAACATCGAAAGATAACATCTCAACTGGTCCTCAAGTGTAACGTTATTAAATTGTTAAATTAATTCAACATTTCATGATTAAGGATGTATACAGATTCAAATTGTGGTTTAAGTTCATACATGATCTCATATTTTATTTCTTTACTCAAGCTTAATTTAAGAATTAAGTTCATGGATATATTCGAACATAAAGTATGGATCAAGTTCTAAAAAAAACAGGAGGAAGGAAAGAGAACTATGTGAATGAAAGATTTTAGAAAGACTTGTGCCATTTTTTTTTCTCCTGGTATTGTCGTTATCTTGATTCATGAGATCTCTACTGTTACCTAATTAATTTTTGTATTTTTTGTAACTATTATATAATTATTATGGGAAAATTACATACATGGCACCCAATTCTTATGGATTTACCTATATCACACCTTACTTTCATTTTTACACACATAGCACTTTACCTATGGATGAAAAGATGGATTTGACTATTAAAAGATAATAATGAGTGTTACTTTGCACATGATATTTGTAATTATGAAAGTTAGGTGTACGATAGGTAAATATGAAAGTTTTGGGAGTTATGTATGTAAAAGCCTCAATTATTATTCTGCAAACTCACTAATTTGTGCATTATTATAATTTTCTATTATTATTATTCCTTAATTTTGTATGTTTCCCATTAGAAGCTCTCTTAAGCAACACAACAACGATAGCAATGGAAGCTACAGCTTATAAAAAATACTAAACAATCCTAAGACTATCAAATTGGATGGAATCTACCAAATTTCATTAGATATATGTGCAGTAATGGAATCTACCAAATTTCATTAAGTTATATGTGCGATATATATATATATATATATATATATATATATAATTAAGAGAGCTTTTAATAAGAACATACAAAATTAAGGAATAATAATAAAAATAATAATAGAAATTTATAATAATACGTAGATTAATGAGCCGGCAGAATAATAAATATATAATAATTACAAAAAGAGCACAAATTAATGGGGGTAATAATAGAGATCTCATGAATCAATATGGTGACAATACCAAACAACATCAACAAGCCTTTATCCCACCAAGTGGGGTCGGATACATGAATTCTTTTTCTCCATTATGTCATATTGAGTGTCTATTTTCATTTAATTCTACTAAATTAAGATCATTTTTTTATACAACATGCCCTAATCCTTTTATGGTGACAATATAAAAAGAAAAAAAAAAGAGGCAAAAGTCTCGCGGTGGCCCCTAAGTGACTAAATTATACAAAAATTTCACAAGTTGCCATGAATGCAAGTCTAATACTTGTATGAGATGGCCTCTTCCAAAATTCTCCCAATCCCACCCTTAGCCAGAGATTAAAATCCCATATGAAAAGAATGAATTATATACATATACATACCTCAAATACAAATTTGTAATCACAAAAATGACTAAGAAACATCTATCATCTCAGCCGAATTGGATTCCCTTGAATTTACATAAATGATTGTCAATAAAGCTTTATCCTTTTGATACAATGCCAAGCAGCTACACTACAATGACAAGCAGCTACAATCTCAATGAGTTAGAAGTAAAAGTCCATTACAATGCTTCATTCTTTAGCCATAAACTAAGAATGTATAAACTATCAATATTGCAATTTCAAGAGGGGAACATTGTAGGATTTGCTAGGTATAACATCGGAATAGCTAGAATCTTCTAAAACAACCAATTAATTCTATGCATACTTCAGATAAAAATCAACTAACAAATCTAGGCAACATAATTGAACTTCCTATAAATATAGCCATGATTATAATATGTAAACCGATCAATTCCCTGCATAAGCCACCTCTAATATCAACTATCAATAGCGTATATGATTCTATGACCAATTATAGCTTCTGACATAAAACTAGATAGTTTAGAATTATACAAATCATGTATTAAATATGAAAACAAAAGGTGAAAAAAAGAGCAAACAATCTATAGCATTAGTTAATGGTTCTGGATGTAAGCTCAAATCTATTAAAAACTAAAATAATGATAAATTTTTTGGGGGATTTCAAACTTGCAATTATTAATCTCAATTCATTGTATAAATTTGTATGATCATGTTTTTTTAATACATAATTTCTTAAGGGATAATGTTTAGAACCTTTCTAAGTATAGATAAAACATAATCTTTTAGCCTTCTTTGGATTTCACATATTCTTGTTAACATCTCTAATAGTCTTCAGAGTACATAGTTAATAAAAAGCATTCGGCAAATATTGTCATGGAAATCTTACATATGAATAAGATAATGAAAGACAATATGCTACATGTACGAAAATGGTAATATTCATGCTCTATAATGGATATATTAAATAGTTATAATGCATAAAACTGAAAAAAAATAAATATTAATAAGATACCACAATTTATTATACATGTATTAATATGTATAATAAATATTAATAAGATACCACAATAAATATTAATAAGATACCACAATTTATATATATGTATAACTATAATAACTATATTTATTATTTGATAAGTAGCAAGCCACATATATATGTATAACTATAATAACTATATTTATTATACAGTGGGCAACCTCCTTAAGGAGTCCTTAGATGCAGGTAATTTAAATGATTTAATGATTAATCAAGGTGAATTATTTACTAATGGACCTATTCATATTTATAGAGTTCTGAATTTAGGGTTTACTAGGAGGAAATTATCATTATTTAATTCTTAGATAGTAAATAATTTAACTTTCTCAATAACATTCTTTATAAATTTGTAAATTAAAAGCAGAAAACCAAAAATAAAATCAATAACAATTTTGTTATTTTTCAAAGACATGATATGAAAAGATAACATCTCAATTGTTAAATTATTAAATTGTTAAATTAATTCAACAACTTCTAAATATAATTTATTCAATTTTCATAATTAAGAATCTGTTTATCTTAATTTTGATTTATTTGCTAAACCTTGATTTAGGTTAAAATTCATGAACGTGTCTAACATAAATTATGGATCAAATTCTACAACAGGTCTGGATGCAAAATAAAACGTAGGATCATTCTGTAAGAACATTTTTTTGGCATCTAATTCATCATTTAAAGAATATTCAAAGCTACAATTTCTTCAATAGAATCAAATTTAATCACGCATGGTGCATATGTCAGCATGCATTTAACAGGCATTAGGTGAAAGATATAGAACTTTTCCTTGAAATATTAACTGAAGGTGCAGTAATCTTAAAAGATGAAACAACTAATAATATGTTCAAGCTCTAAAACTCTAAAAAAGACCACATATATTTACTCTGGAGAAGTGTAGCTTAATTAATGCTTAAATTTCTTGCATTAGACCTTTAATAAACCAGATATAAATAAAATAATAATTTTAGAGCAAATTATATTTGGCTAAGAAATCCTCAGACACATTATACGGAGCTTATTTAAAAAAATTAAGCATGCAATTGAATTCGACAACATTACAAATGACAACTTTTGTTCCTTAAATATATGGTTCACATCAATTCAAGTAATTGTTGTTTTTGTACAATAATTCACCAAAATAGTGTAGCAAATACTAATAATTTTTAAAGCAATTTTCACTCTTTGAAAATTAGATAAATTATGCCTTTCAGAAAAATTCCTATAGATTATCTTTCCAATTTGAAATACAAGCCTTTATCGAATGTGGGAATATAACTTTTAACTTGGTGATTGTGGTGTGAATATCTTTATCCTAATCATCGTAACCCTATTTTTATAAGTAGAGATCCATGACTTGTTTAAAGATCATTCATTGATTGAACATTAATATTTATATCCTATTAATGAATTCATGCATGAAGCCAATAGAGTGTGACTTTATATCAAGAAAAAAAAAGAACACTCTGTGAGTTCTTCTACATTGAAGTAATAAATAGAATTGAGTATAACAAAAATCATGCACGTTAAATTTGTTGTGATTGAAAGAAATTAAATTATAGGAATTCTAACTTGACATAATCTGCTTTTGTTTGAAAAAATAATTAAAAAATTTGAAGGAGAAGAACGAAAATATCAAAAGGGGAAGTACCCAAAAAATTAAGTCCCGTGCTTTAGTATCTCCTTGAATTCAAGTCTCGCACTTGACCAATGATTGAAATCTTAAAAGCAAATGAAAAAATAAAGATAAAAACTATTTTACCGCCCATAGGAAATTTTATTCAAGTCATCATTAAATTTGTGCAAGTCTCAAAACCTTGTTTATAATAATAAAAAATAGCTAAGAAATAACCTCAAACCACTTGAAACAGCCAAATTTCCTAAAAACTACACAAATATCGCTAACAAAAGCTTCAAAAGTTTCTAATATAATGTTCAAATCCCCAATACCCTCTCAAAATAAATTAAAAAAAAAACTGGCAAAGAGAAAAATGTCAACATGCTTAAGGTAGCAAATTGGAATGAGCTTTTAACTACGAGTTTCATATAAAAAGGATGAACGCTATATTATAGTCTTTGGATAAGCAACATCGAAAGAACAGATCATTATCTGGAGCTTCAAACAAAGATAAGAATGCATCATTCATTATAAAAAATAGGAGGATTTACATGCATACCACTCAATTCCTATGTATTTGCATATCCAACACCGAAAATTTAATTTTTACATATATAACACCTTTCCTATGTATAAAAAGGTGCATTTCATTTTTAAAAGGAAAAATGGTGGTATTTTGATGTGACATGAAAGCTTTAGGTGCTACAAATGTAAAAAAGTAAAGTTTAGGCATTAGATGTGTAATTACATGGGAATTGGGTGGTATGCATGTAAATGCCCCAAAAAAGTAGAAATGATAGCAAAATAAAACAATCTAAACCTGACCTGATCAATAGTTCTGATATCAGGAGATAAACCACCGTGGACACACAACACCTACAATTTTAAAAAGAAGTGAAATTAAACATTATTTTGATCCCAATAAAGAGGAAATTTTAGAGAAAAATCGTGAGTTTTGAAGTAGTTACAGAACAGGAAAGTGGTTACCGTTCCATCAATAATTGCTGACAAGGTAAGGTAGTCAAAAACATCAGTGCAGTATCTCCATGCATTAGCATTCCCATATTTTCTCTGGCACTCATCATAAAAACCATAGACCTACAGAAAGCCGATGTAAAACCATTAAAAAAAAACACAGAAGAAATGAAATTAAAAAAAAAAAAGAAAACTGCAAAGTTAGCTCAATAACTCATGAAAGACATACTGCACAAAAATGCTCCTTAATATGCTAAAAGGTATAATTTATTACATTATCATTCAGATAACGAAGATGAGCATACAAGCCTCATCGAAGCCTATTCATAATTGAAGCCATGCACCATCCTGAATCTAATATCACAAAACAGTGCTTAAAGAATTGAAAATACTGGAGTTATAATAGATAACACTGAAAATAATTTGCACGGAGGGCATGCTGCAAAATAATAATAATAATAATAATATTCTCCTCCAGCTTAAAGGATTGACCAACAATGATACCTTCTGACTGAAAATTGATCCCAACTGGTCCCTCAAGACTAAATTGAGATCAATTTTATACAGTCAAGGAACTAAACTGGGATCATTTAGGTGTCATGATTTCCACACAAAGTATCAATTGGAATCAATTTTCAATAATCAGGGTACTAAACTGGAGCATTACAAAACCCTTGAACTAAATTGGGCACATAGTCCAGAGATAATTTTGAGATCTGCCTTTCTAGCTCCATAAGTAACGCAGGTGCCGGCTTCATCCCGCACAGATGCATGAAACAGCCAGCCGGTTCAGCTGACTGGCATAAGGCCAGTCCAGTGGACCAGCTAGACCAGGTGGCATGCCTACCGGGCGGGATTTGTATTGGGTAGGAGCTAGCAGGTGAACCGAGCCGCACAGGGAAGCCGTAACTCGGCATTTTAGGGCATCTGCACGATTTTGGTAAGTGTGAATCCCTTTCTCACGTCAGTTGAGACCTCCATTTCCTCCCCCACACTTCTGAATTGAAGTTTGTCTCGTTTTTCGTACATTTTTCATTTCCAGTAGCTGTCAGAGGCGTTGAAAGTGATTTGAAAGCTTCCGTATGAATTTTAACACAAAATCAGTGAGGGAAAAGTGAAGATTAAGGTGTTGGGAGAGTTGGGGAAAGAAAATAAATGTTTTCAGAAAATTAATTTATGCCAAGAAGCACATTTGAGATATGTTTTGGCTAATAAGTTATGTTTTGGGTAAATGCATGTTATGAGCCCAAAATTTATGAATTTCTACGATTTTTATGATTCCCAAGTTGTCTATACGAGGCGGCGTGCTAAAGACGAGCGTGTGAGCACTAGTCGTAGGGCTTCTCCATCAAGTCATGTAAAATAATTTTATGCTAATTTAAGAAAAAAAATAATCTTATATGGATTTTCATATGATTTTTCGTTCGACATAGATGCATTTAGACTTCTAGCTTATTGTAGACGATTACATGCTTAAAATGTATGAATGTTAGTTGACTCTTTTTACTGCACATGTGATGCTATGTTATGCTATGATACATAGCATGTATTCATTTATGATTCATACATAAATATATATATATATATATTGATTGCAGTAGATTATGTTTCAAAATGGATTAAAACATTGGTTTACCTCAATGTGATGCTTGAAGTGTTTCAAAATTTTTAATTAAAAACATATTTACAAGATATGAAATGCCTAGAGTAATCACTACCGATAGAGAATCTCAATTTTGAAATATTACAATTGGAAGATTGGTCAAAAAATATAATATAATGCATTAAATTACAACTGCTTATCATCTCCACACAAGTAGTTTAGTAGAAGTATATAGTAATGAAATTAAGAGAATTTTGGAAAAAAGTGTCAATCATAGTAAGATGGATTGGTCTGTTAGATTAGACACCGCATTATGAGCATACAAAACTGCTTATAAGACACCTATTGCTATATCATCTGTAGATATATATATATCTGTAGATATACAGATATATATACATGTATATACACATGTGTATATACACATGTATATACACATGTGTATATATATACATGTATATATACATGTATATACATGTGAATATATGCTACAAATATTATGTTTTAAGAAATATTATGAGTAATGTTATGGGTATACTATTAAATGAGTGTTGCATGTACACTATGCAGGGATGTAGTATTCCCGACTCCTGATATTTATAAGAAGACGCAACCCTAGAAACCGTTGAAATTAGGTGGTGACAGAACGTTAGGGAACCATGGGTATCAGGGGGGTTTATTGATAATTGTTATGTTGGGGAAAACCCAACCTTTATCGATAGTTTATATGGTCTTTAAGACAGGGTGACGATCCATGATGAAAGGACATGGAAATAGTTGAGTCTTATACATTAAATAAGTGATATTACTAAGAAATGACATTGTAATGATTATAAATTATAAAAATATCTATGAATATGTTTTTCATTATACTTATGATTTCATGCCCACGACCTATATGTTACACTATAATCTTGATTTTTGTACTACCTGCTCTCTTTTCATGTTTTCAACCATGCTAGCATGTTATTACTTGTGTGTGTAGGCATGTACAGTTTCCTATGATGATGCACATTGTTTCTTTTTCATGTATAAAATCTTATGTTGGTCTTGATTATTTCTTTGAGCCCGTTGTTGCTCATTCTTTGTTGTTGGCTTCGGGTAGGGTCAATGAGCACCAGAACTAATAGTCAGGTGTGTCTTTTACAGCTTTTGCACGATAGTTTTGAGAGTTTTGTACATATATTTTGGATACGTACTTTTATTATATATGATTTAAGAGCTTTGTATAATTTTCACTTTTTGGATGATATGATTTTCATGCTTCCAAATACGTATATGAATGAATTATGAAATACAATGTATCGCGTATGTTGCGGTAATCAAGTTAGACCAATTCATCACTCAATGAGTCCTAATTATAAAAGTCAGGACCAATGCTGGTGAGAGTTGATCTGACCAAATTGTCAGTTTTTGTAGCGCTATGATAGATCCTACCAGGTGGGTTAGTTGAAGTGTGGCACCGCCGCACCTTTTATTTTCCTCCTTACATGATCTCCCTATGGGAAGTCGTCAATTGCAATTTTTTATAAATGGATTGTCGACCGCCCTTACCTTTTGTGTGAGAGATTCTTTTCTTATTCCTTTCATTTTCTTCTCCATAGAGGAGTCTATAAATTGTTGTTTTATGGATGTTGGGTTCAGTTTTGTTGTGTTTCAGATTTCAGATTTCTATGTAGAGTTACTTTCCCTTTTTCTAGGGTTGTATCCGAGGATAGATGGAGCTCCGGTCGTATCCTACTCCAAGTAGTGTTATATCTTCTTCAATACTATTCCCTAATCCTCTCTTTCCTTTCCCCTTAGCCACCACACATCCTCCTCGGTCTACTACCCCCTGTTGTTGCGCAAATCAACCGCCTAGCCTCTCACCTACTGTTGTCTTTGTTATCTAGCCATCTCGGACCCCATCATGCATCTACCAGACATCTCCGAAGCAACCTCCTTGTTGTCCGCCTTTTGCCCCGCCAGCTAATACATCCCCTTGCCTTCCCTACCACTTGCCTTGCTACCCCACTCCACCCCTCAATTCAGCCTCCTACCCTCTTCCCAACCTACCTCGTAGCCCTCCACCAATCCCCTTTTCCTTTCCAGTTTGTCTTATTGTAGCCCTATAAATATGTTAAAAAAAGTTTGCTTTTGGGTTTCCGTTGAGCTCCTAACTAATTTCGTTATCGTTTGCTATTAATCCCCCTGGCCAATTTTCAAAATCAGCAAGCCTAAACAACTTTTTTGCACCCGCCATCAATCACACACACCCTCTATCACCTCCAACAAATTATTTCCTTCCACAACCCAAACCTTCACCAAAATTTTTATTTCATATTCCTTAATCCCTGGTCATGCCACCAAGGAGAAATATGCTCTAGCCTACCCGGGAAGAGATACGACGAGAGCTTCGTTGCCTTCAACACAGACTTGCGAAAATTGAAGAGTTAACACAGCAAGAGGTTACCTTCAACCGAGATCTGGCGAGTCGAAAAGGAGAAAAGGAGGAGGATCGGAATCCCTTCCATAGGGAGAATTTTAGCGATGAAGAAAACAAACCACGACGTTTCGAAATCCGGTATCAGAGAAGGCCTAGAGAGGATATTTGAATCCCTCCCAAAGGGAGAATTCCCGAGAGGAGATGTCATTTGCGGGACACAGATGAATTCATTGATTTGTTTGCAAGCAGTCGGGCGGATATTCAAGTATATAGATGTGTCAGAAGATACGTAGGTCAAACTAGTTGCTATTAAGTTGAAGAAAAGTGTCTCCTTATAGTGAGAGAACGTACAGCGGCAGAAGAAACGTGAAGGCATTGATAACATTACCAAGTGGGAGAAGATTGAGAAAGTCATGCTGAAGAAAAATATCTTCCCCATCATTCTCGTCGGGATATGTTTATGAAGCTCAACAATCTGCAACGGCGGGATCTTTCAATGGATTTCACAGTCCAGTTCAACCACTTATAACTGAAGTGCGCACTAATAGAGCCTAAAGTGCACACTGACAGAGCCAGAGGAGCATACAATAGCCAGATACCTTGGGGACCTGAGATCTACTATTAATGTGGAGTAGCTACAGCCTTACTGGACGTCTGGGGTTGTCCGCACTAGCATTGAAGGTGAAGAGGCAGCAAAAGCAGAGCAGACAACAACCATTCTTCAGCAGTAACCTTTAGGCAGGCAGTTACCTACAACAATGAGGTCCAAGTGCTACCAGAATTGAAGACAAAAACCAGAAGCGCATAAGGTCGAAGTTCCCCCAACCCCGAGAGACTGCTGAGGATGCAGGCTTCATCCTGCACGGATGCGGGAAACAGCTAGCCAGCTGAATTGACCGGCTTAAAGGGGCCGGTCCAGTGGACCTGCTAGGCCGGGCAGCACACCTACAGGGCGTGATCGCCGCCTTGTCTATTTCCTTACATGATCTCCTCCATATGGGAAGTCGTCAAACATGATTTTCTATAAATGGATTGCCGCCCGCCCTTTCCATTTGTGTGGGAGATTCATTTCCTTTTCTTCTCCATAGGGGATTCTATAAATTGTTGTTTTCTGAATGTTGGGTTTAATTTATGTTGTGCTTCAGATTTCAGATTCTTGTGTGGAGTTATTTTCTCTTTTCTAGAGTTGTATCCGAAGATGGGTAGTGCTCCGGTTGTATCCTACTTTGAGGCGCTGTTATATTTTCCCCGATCATATTCCCTCTTTCCCTTCCCCTTAGCCACCGACCACCCTGAGCACATCCTCATTGGTCTGTCACCCCCTGTTATGTCGCGGATTACCCACTCAGCCTCCCACCTGCTGTTGTCTTTGTATTTCCTTTCCAATCTGTGTTATGTTGTCCTATTTCTATGTTAATAAAAGTTTAATTTTGGGTTTTCCGCTGAGCTCCTACCTAGTTCCAGTATCAATGAGTCTTTAAATTGCCGTTTAAAAAAAAAATATAAAGTAGGATAGAAACTACGCTACAATCTCAAATTATTGTGAGGCAAGCAAAGAAAACTCCGCAGCATGGTTTTCCAATGTAAGAGAAGCAAGAGAAATCAGATCCCTAGTGTTTCTCCTTCCATATATAACCCAATGTTAGCTTGAACAAAGTTAACTGAAGATTTAACTAGTACATAAAAGAAAAATACCGATAAACAATCAGGAAAGTAAATTGGAAATAATGAGCCACTAACAAGCAAATAGAACATACAATTCCCGGATTCTCTACGACATTCAATTATTTGAAACATTAATCACCAAAAATAGTGTTATGGCACAGAATTCAATCTCCTCGCCATTTCCAGAAAGAAAAAATCACCTAGAAAACCAGAAAAGGATCATGCAAAATCACAGAAACAACTTAATAATTTCTTTTATATGCTACATAAAAAGTGATGACTCTCCTAGTACAATGATTAAATCAAACTAGCTTTAAATGAACCATGAAACAACCCATAAACAAGAGATAAGTATAATTATTAAACTGAAAAAGTGGAAAAACATTTTTTTAGATGTTAAATTTAAAAGCTCAAACAAGTTCAAATTCCTTCAGCATTCACTTGCATAATTAAAAAAATAAAAAAGAAAGAACAGCACACCTGTGTTAGTTGCCTGCTTTCATGATTCCCACGCAGAAGGGTAATATTTGCCGGATATCTGGTGTTAAATCACAAAAACAGAACTCACATATTTCTGTCAGTCACGTAAATAAAAAAGAAAATGGAACTGCAAGTCTGGAAATGAGATAAATAAGCTAGTTTTTAGAATTTCAACAAAATCAACCCCAATTAGTAGGGATAGACTAATGATAAAAATAGTAATGAATCAAAAGAGCAGTTCATCATTATCAACTCAAAACCGAGGCTGTCTACTCAGAAATAGAAAAGTAACATGGGCAAATCATGGAGTGGTTCATCACCGACATGGACAGAGAGTAGTTGCTCAGGAAAAGACAATCAGAGTGGCAGCTTTAATGAAGTTTATTACCCAAACTGGTCCTGTACTATAAAGCCCATATGTGCATATTTCCGTGTATGGTAGAAAAATCTTCTACTGAGTTGAGAAGCTACAAAAAATAGTAAATTTTGAAAAGCAGACAGAACAGGGTTGGGCTGAATGTTGAATTCACCATCCCTACGACAAACTGAACCCGGTTAGTGAAAAACTAAAAGAAAGTGTATTTTTCCACAAAAAAACTCGGCAAATTTGGCTGTGAGTCAATAAGGATTGATATTGTTCAAAATTCAAACTCCACAAGGCTTGTATGGTTTTTGAAAGAAAATCAATGAGGTATGTTGTTCAATTGAACGTTAAGAAATCAAATCTTCACAATGATATATTGGCACTTGATTTAAAGTATATGATAGTGACTAAGCATGATTTTCTTGCTATGTTTGGGGAGCATCTAACATAATATTCAAGATCAATACATATCAGCTAAAGAATCTTTAATCTTCCACATAGCATGAAAAAGTTAGTAGCTAAAGATGTCTCAAACATATTCATGGTAGATTATGCGTACATCAGGGATCTTAAAAGATAAGAGGCAGGAGTTATTAATTAGGCACACAAATGAGCTACAAAAACAATAGTACTTTTATTGTTCATGGTCACAGCTCCTCGTAAGGTATCTTAATGATTTCTACGTTAAATGAAAATATAACTAGTTACAAGAAAAAAAAATAGAAATATCATTCCAATAAATGTTGGCCTACCTCTTGATATATCAATACAACATATATATTTTTTAGTGTTTTAATGAAACATTATAGCATTCATATCCCCTATAAAAAAAATCATACTTCAAAAGAAATTTAAGTTTGGAGTTTAGGAGAGGAAGATATAAATTAATAATGATTTGATTGTTTATGGACGATATCAATATATAAACTCTCTTATGCACGTTTCACAAGGGTGGGTTATAGTGAATCGTGGCAACTCATCTTTAGTCAATAAGGCTATAAGCCGGGATTTAAGTATCCTTGCGGAATTTTTGCATAACCCCTTCCATTCCTGAGGGAAGCGTAATGACTTGGGGTAACATGATCTTGAGAACCTTCAACTTGTTCATCTTTTATTCACCTTATTAGTATGAGATGTAATTTGAAGTTATTCATGTAAGCAAATGGAAAAAATGCAAGGGAAATTTACATACATTCTTGTGTATTTACATATCTAACACCCAAAGTTTAATATTTACATTTATAATAGTTTGGTGCTATAAACCTATGCAAGAAAATATGTAATTCACTTTTAAAAATGTAGCTCATACCGTTCTAGGGCTCCTATAAGATAGTTCGGAAAAAAATTAGTGGGGAGGTGGTTGTGGAATAACGAGAGAAGGCTAATATGTGTGTTTGATGGTGTTTGGAAGAGATTGAAGGGATAAATTTGTCGTTGGGCAGCAGGTTCAACATCGTTGTTGGTTGTTCTGGCTAAAATCAGCAAGTAGGACGACGAAATGGCATGATGTGGGTGATGAGGAGGTTTTACCACATGTTCTTAGGCTAGATGCAGATGCACCACTTGCAAAAGGAGAAAAATACACCACTCATTAGGGTAGAAATCAGATATTACAATCTCCAAGACACAAACAAAACAAAAATCCAACTAAACCAGAAAATAATAACATATAAATAGTTCTCTTCTAGAAAATAACCAAAATAAAAATAGAAAAATAAAAAAATAAATTAAAAATGAAAGAAATATGGTGAAATATGAAATTTCGGGTGGGCTTTGTTGGTTGCACTAGCTCGACTCGCGTTTCTCCCATAATATTACGTTCAGCGGCCCGGTACTATATCAAAATCACAATTTCCATGGTCACAAGCTACGAAAGATTTGTGTCCCGTAAACCTGGCTCCCCCATCATTCTCTGAAGCTAGGAGAGGCTTCTTCTTGTTATGGAAGGATTGGATCTTATTGTCAGTTATTCTTTCTCACAAAATGCGTAAAGAAATTTCTAACGCTACAATCCATCACTTTTGTCAGGCCATCTATCCGTGGGTGCACCGTTGAACTGAACAAACACTCATCAATCAACGTATTTTACATAATTTTTCAAAAAGAGCTCAAAATTTTCTCATCTTTAACTTAAGTGATGACAAGTTGGACCTCCCTAAGATATGGAAACTTAGAAGATAGATTGTATATCCGAAAATCCATAAATTCGCCAAGTAGCAATTGTCCTTTGTTGAAATCGGCTCCTTAAATTAACCGACCTTTTGGACAACTAACGTTTGCCCTACTAAAGCGTTTTTTAAAACCTGTAAAAAGATAGTTTGTGGCACAAAATCCTCAAATTTTGTATGAGCACTCATTACCTCAGACTTACTGTCTTTTACAATAACCAATGTCAGTCCTGCTGGAGTCATGGGCTCAGCTTGAATCACTAGTATCTCTCACTCGCTGATTAGTAGTTAGTACTCATCTCCATTCTCCTCATCTGCATCTTCACCATATGTTTCCTCTACTATACCCTGCTCAATGAAAGATAGCACCCTTCTTTTGAGCAATCTGATGCGATGTGCCTAAAGTTGTGGCACTTGACTGAAAAAGATTTAAGAGTACTAGAGGTCTCCACTTTTCTCCACATTGAACTGATTTTTCCTCTATCAAGATACGCTAGGATGCTTCACTATGTGTACTCCTACTGCATGATCCTGGGGTTGAATTGTGACTAAAGGGTAGTGTGGATAACATAATACTGTGTGTTGTCTCTCCATCTTCAGAGCTAGGGATTGAACATCCTATAATGTACAATATAACTGCAACTATATCACGTTCCGAAGAGAAGATCTCAATCCCCCCATATATTGAGCTATGGTGTTCTCTTCGAGCTCCACTAGCTCAAATTTTAGCAAAAGTTGCTCGAACTCTGTTGTGTACTTCTCTATTGAGAGATCTTGTTGTTCTAATTGGTGAAACCACAAGAACCTGTCACGTCTGTAACGTGCTAGAAGATGCTTGCGTCGCATCACCCTCTTTATCTTAAATTAGGATGTAATTTTGCTTTTTCCCCATCATTGGTGTAAGTTCAAAATTTTCCACCACAATGAAGCATTTTTCCTGAGCTTGATGACTGTCAATTTTACCCTTATGTCCGGTAGGACATCCTTGCATTCAAACACCCATTTCGCTGCCTAGAGTCACTTGAGGAACTCGTCCAAATTCATGTGACCATCAAAATCAAGTAAATCCACCTTTACTCCAAAATCATCATCTATCCTATACTTAATGTTGAATCGGTGTGGCATCGGCTCTTGGTCACTTAAGAAATTTATTGGTGTAACCATCTCCTTCAACCGGATGGTCATCGTTATTGTTGTTAATGACTTCCCCAAGTTGTCTTCTTTTAAAATCAATGAGTCTCTGCTACAATGGAATGTTTTCTCATTGCAATTGAATGCTTTCTCATTGCATGTCCTCCAAGATAATTATATAAGCACCTCGTTGAGTTTTTCTCCTTGGCAGCATAGAGTCTTGTTTTCCAATCAATATTCTGATAGGCTCTGATATCAAATGTTACATTTCTAGGGCTCTTAAAAGGTATTTCAAAAAAAATATTTAGGGGAAAATTGATTTTGAAATTGTGAGGGACGGCTAATATGTGTGGTTGACATGTTTTGGAAGGAATTGTGTGGATAAATCTATCGTTGGACAGCGGGTTCGATGTCGTCGTCGGCTGTCATAGCTAAAATACATAAGTTGGAAGGCAAAATGGCGTCATATGGGCGGAGAGGTTGTTCCAACACTTGTTCCTAGGCAAGATACAGATATGTCACTTGCAAAAAGAAAAGGTAACAACACTCTTTGAAGTAGAAATCAAATATTGCAATCTCCAAAACACACAAACAAAGTAAAAGTCTATATAAACCAAAAAATAAAAACATATAAATAGTCGCCTACTAGAAAATAACCTAATGAGAAATAGAAAAATAAAAATAAAAAAATAGGAGATAAAGGGATAGGAAACATGTCAAAAAGAAAATAAATCTCTTGAAAGAAGCAGATTTTGGGTGGCTCTGTTGGCTGCACTGTAGCCTGACTCGCGCTTCTCACGTGATCTTGAGTTTTGCAGTCAGGCACTATAAGAAAAATCTTGATTCCCACTGTTACGAGAGTCCCGGTTTGTTCTGCATAAGTTTTGCATCTCGTGACCCCAGCTCCCACGTCAGTAGTGATGGTGTTATTTTTTATGTGATTTTAAAAATTTGAATGGTATGCATGTAATTATAAATGTTTAGGTTTTAAACAAGTAAACACATAAGAATAGTGTGGTCTGCACGTAAATGCCCCAAAATGCTATTGAATTTGCATCTAAGAGTTTGATTTGTCAACAAAGGAAAGTAGAACACAAGAGGTTGGAAGGAAGTAATAGAATCAGGTGATTCCTGAGTGGAAGTGGAAGTATATTACCAAGGATTTTGTTGAAGACTGACCTGGCCTCAATAAGGCATAATTCTATTTTAATAGTTGTATATGACCTCAATAAGTTCACATATTTTATTCGTATGAGTTCTAATAATTTTGTAAAACTTTAAGTTCACAAGATAGATCTTGCATGCGAATCCAATTGGTGTTGTTTTTGATAGACATTCCCTGTTCATTTTTATATTTAAATTTAAAGGGAAAAAGCATTAGAGTTTTTTATAATC